ATTTGAGAACGAGGGCAGGGAGCCATGCATACTGCTAGGAGACTTGGCAAGATCAAGACTGAAAACATCCACCCGGCGTCAGCAGGACAGCTCAGCTGGTAGAGGCATTTGTGTCTAGGCCTGATAACCTGAGTCTGAGTTTAGGATCCCACAAAGCGGCAGGCGGGAACGCCTGAGTGCTCTTCTGACCTGCACATACGCACACATGCATACATACACAGAATAAAATAAAACAAAATATCCATTGGGCATATGACTCACGAACAAGGTCATTGATGACTTTAAGTAAAGTCACATTGGAGCTGGTCATGGTGGCACATGCCTTTTGTCCCAGTACTTTGCGGTGGCAGAGGCAGGTGGATTTCTGAGTTTGAGGGCAGCCTGGTCCACAGAATGAGTTCCAGGACAATTAGAGCTATACAGGGAAACCCTGTCTTGAAGAAGGAGGAGGAGGAGAAAAAGAGGAAGAAGAAGGAAGAGAAAAAGAAAGAGGAAGAAGGAAGAGAAAAAGGAAAAAGAAGAGGAGGAAGAGGAGGAGGAAGAGGAGGAGGAAGAGGAAGAGGAGGAGAATGGGCTGAAAAGGAGAGTAGACAACTCATTACACATTTTTATTCTGAAGAGGGGCAAGCCTGAGGAATGATAGTGGAAAATAGATACAGGTTCAGCTCTCTCTTTCTATTGGCAGTGCTGAAGGTAGAACCCAGGGCCTTACACATCTTAGGAAAACACTCCACTGCTGAACCACACCATTCTCCCTAGAAGAGATACACCTCACCTGCAATGTGTGTATGTGTGGAGTTCAGAAAACAATTTGTAGGAGTCTGTTCTCTCCTTCTCCAATGTGGGCCCCAGGAATTGAACTCAGGACACCAGGCAAGCACCTTTGCCCACTGAGCCATCTCATCACCTCGGGGAGACATAAAGCTGAGCCTCGAGGCCCTCTTGCACGGCTGGCATTGGTCCATAGTTGGGAATGGCTTATAATGGGAAGCTTATAAACATGTCTCACTGGCTGCACCATTCTGATGGGCTGTGCCACCTTGGTCTACAGTGGTCATTCTTCTGCACCCATGCCTCCTCCTTTAGGGTCTTTACATGAGCCAGCCCTTCCTGTGAGAGCCTCACAGGGCTGGTTAATTGGGGCAGCATCTAAATCCTCCAGGGGTTTAATTTGTGTCTTGGGCGGGGTGCCACACCCCTTTTCCACATGGTAAAGAGAGGGAGGAAGAATTCTTGGGATAGAGATCCATGTTGCTCCCCATCCCCATGCTCAGGCCTTGGTCTTATTATGTTCAGAGCCTTGGGTGGGTGGGTGGGGGGGTGGGATATGGAGAAGTCCAGAAAACAAGTAAACTAATTCTTGGCTAGACAGTAATGTGAACATGGAAGACTGCTTCTCCTGCCCTAAGAGCATATTTCTCAGGAAGGGAAGGTAGAAAGCAGGAGTTTAGAGAAAAGGCTATGCATTTAGATGATGCAGATAAATACAGAGAAGGAAGGAGTCCAATTGTCAGTTGCAAAGGTTAGCATTGGCTGTCAGCTTGACAGAGTCTAGAACCACTTGGGAAACCAACCGTCAGGCACAGCTGTCGGGATTAGGTTAGGTTAGCCTCTGAGCATGCCATGATGGATTATGTGATGGAGTCTCTCAATAGGGTTGAGGTGGGAAGACCCACTCTAGTAGCGGTCTTGGGCAGGTACGATCTTCTTCCTGACTGCAGACACAGTATGACCGGCTGCTTCAAGTTCCTGACACTGACCGTCCCGGCACAATGGAAGGACCCTCGAACTGTGAGCCAGAATAAATCCTTCCTTAAGTTGTTGTCAGAGTATTTTACCATAGCAGCAGGAAGAGCAGGTATGACGGCCACCTCAGATGGCCTGAGATTTGTAGGGAGGTAGACCTCAGAGTTCAACCCCAAACTCTGGAACAGTCCGACTGCTATGGACATAACTTGTGTCACCTTTCCCACTGGGCTTGGGAAACTCCACTACAAGGCAGGAACCATTACCCCTGATGTGAAGCTAGTCACAGCCTCGCCTTTAAATCGACAGTGACAAATCCTACTGTAGGGCTGGCTCTACTAATGAAGCAAGGCCAGACGAATGCAAGTTCCTGCAGGTGCCAGGCTATCGGCGAATCAATCCCACACCAGTTATGTTTTAAGGGGTTATTTATTTTGGGGGGTAAAACTTATATACACCATAAACCGTCAGGAAGGGAGCCTAGTCGCAGGAGCCGGGAGCAGGAGCCAGGAGCAAGCACCGGAACCAAGAGAGCCTATTCCGGATATGTTTCTCTTTTTAAAAGAGAAATATACCACGCCCCAGTGGGCTGGTATTTTAGCAGCTATTGGCTGACGGAGCGGAAGTCGCTCCCCGCGGCACTGTGGGCTCGTATTTTAGCGACTATTGGTTGAGGCAGCGGAAGTTACTCCCACAACACCAGGCACTAAACAGAAATGATTACCAGTGATTT